GAAAAATATAAAATATGTTGAACTTTGTTGTGACAGTGGCAATTGGTTTATCTGAGGGATGTGTCAATTGCTTTGTTCGGCTAATATGCCTTCTTTCCTCTTCCCTTGTCCTTTCTTTCACTGGATCCCTTTCTCTTTTTCTTGCCTCTGTGAGGTTTGGTTTCCTCCTCCTTTTCTTTACCTCTTTGCCTTTTGGCTGCGTGCAAGTGGGTCCTTGTGACACACGGGGATGGGGGCCGCCAGCGCTCAACCTGTCATCCACGTGGCTGGCCTTGTACGTAAGAGGTGATGAACAGGTGGGGCTTTCCTTCCTTCCTTCCTTCTTTTCCTTTCCTTGTTTTGCTTTTTTCCACCTTTGTGCTCCGATTCACAGTGTGACAATGTATATCCTCCCCTTTCCTTCTTCTCCTCCTCCCTTTTCCTCCTCCTCCTCCTTCCCCTTCCCCTTCCCCTCCCTCCCCCTCCCTCTCTCCCTTCCTCTCCTTCCCCTTCCTCTTTGCCAGCATCCTCTTCTTTGACATGTACCCCTTCTTCTTCTTCCCCTTCTTCCCCTTCTTCTTCTTCTTCTTCCCCTTCTTCTTCCCCTTCTTCTTTTTCTTCTTCTTCTTCTGTCGACGTGGCAGAGCAGGCTGTCGGTAAGACAAAGAACCCGGCAGATTAGCATCAACACGACGTCGAGAGGAAGGGGGGGGACTGGGAGGAGGAGAGAATGAACGAATCTGCCGACGTCCCAATACAGGACGACGAAGATGGAGGGGCCGATCTCAGCCGCCGTGGGGAAGAGGAAGACAAACTAGAGGAGGCAGAAGAAGAAGAAGAAGAAGAAGAAGAAGAAGAAGAAGTCGTTTGTGAGCTTTAATGTCCATGCAGATTGTTGAATACTCGTAAGCGTGGACGCGTGGTGATTGGCCTTGCCATTACTGATTTGTACTTCTTCCCCTTCTTCTACTTCTACTTCTTCTTCTCCTTCTTCTTCTTCATCTGCCTCCTCTAGTTTGTCTTCCTCTTCCCCACGGCGGCTGAGATCGGCCCCTCCTTTATCTTCGTCGTCCTTTATTGGGACGTCGGCAGGTTCGTTCATTCTCTCCTCCTCCCAGTTCCCCTCTCCTCCTACTCCCCCCTCTTCCTCTCGACGTCGTGTTGATGCTAATCTGCCGGGTTCTTTGTCTTACCGACAGCCTGCTCTGCCACGTCGACAGCTTTTGCCAGTCATGCGCCGACCGCGCTAGATCAGACCTGGCTTTCCAGTAATGACCGATTCGGATCTGCGGCCAGATCTACCAAATGCTTGTGGCTTGACAGCCACAAATGTCCGCCTACCTCAATGGGTTATCAGCGTCAGCGTCAATGTTATACTGCATCCCATTGGTACATGTAGGAGGCCGGCTATGGTGTTGACATCATGTACATTGATTGGTCTTCGAGAGTCGAAGTGAGCCTGTCTGTTGCGAGAATGCTGATGTAGGTAGGATAGTCAAGTAGCGTAGGCTGGGCGCTGGGCGCCAGACAGAGAGGAGCGACTTTGGATACTGTGTTGGTGTGGCCTGAGGGCTTGAACATTGGCTCATTACTTCATTGTATTGCTCTTATTTGGATGATGGAAACTCGGTGCATTTGTGCTCTCTGCTTGGTACACGACTAGTACTTGGACATCTGTGTGATTTCGCAACTTGGTTTTCTGTATATCGTTCCCACTCATATTCCTTGCATCTGTGACAACATAATTTTTTATATATGTCCCGTTATTCGGTCTATTTTGCTGCAGGTAGCGGTGCTTCATGTGGGACTAGTCATCCGGTTTTTTTTTTATTGTCTTGGTATCCTGGTTGGTTGTTTCCCGTTGTTCGGCCTTTTGAGCGCCGGGCGGTGCTTGTATGTGGGAATCGTCATCCGGGATGGGTTCTTTTTGGTACTTTTCTTGATTTCTTTGCTGACAAGGTTTTGACATCTTGGTTGGTCTTGTCCCGTCGTTTGGCCCGTGACGGAGGGGGCGGTGCTTGCATGTGGGACTTGTCACCTGGGATCTGTTTTGTTGCCGCCTGTTCTGTTTTGTTTGGCTGTTCCCTTCCTCTCTTCTTTGCCTCTTTGCCTTTTGACTGTGTGCAAGTGGGTCCATATGACACACGGGGGTGGGCGCAGCCGCCGCTCAACCTACATCCACGTGGGCGGCCTTGTACGCAAAAGAGGTTCTAAACAGGGGGAGTTGTAAGGAAGAAGATAGAAAAACGAATTCATTTTTTTCTTTTTTCTTTTATCTTTTTTTCGCTTTTGCGCTCTGATATTCATGTGACAATATATATATAGTCTGTAGAGTTTTCCATCTGGTGTGGGTGAGTGATAGTCTACTTTGATTTTGGTTAAGGTAGATTATCATTTACAGTGTAATCAGTGAGGGGATTCTGCAGACTGTTGAGGGTTCAGCCTCCTGATGAGTC